GATCGTAACCGATGGTTAGATGCATTGAGCGATATGGCTGGGTGTCGTAAACAGTGGCGTTCGTGCATCTCCTCAATTTCTTCCCAACCTTAGTCCACTGAACTTCTCCATTTTCCTTTCGAATCCACTTTCAACTTTCCTTTCTTCTCCTATTCTTCATCCCAATGGGCAGCCAAAAGACGGCAACCAAAACCGGCGCACGAAAGTGCACGGTTAATGGTTGTTCAAACTGAAAACTGAAAACTTGTTGCCAAACTGGAAAATGGGGTTTTACAAAACACAGTAAGTAGCCTGCCACTCTACTGTCATTTTATGGATGATTTTTTCATCTTGATCGAAATCCAAATGCACATAGATCCACTTTTATATGTCTTCAACGATGCTCATACCGTTATCTGTTTCAGGTCCGAATCGGAACTGGGAGATTTTTTTTCACTTTTTTCACAAGATGACACGGAAGTGCGGCAAAACGCTCGGTTTATCGCTAACCGATTTGGACTGGGTAGTACTTTAATTTTGTCAGTTTCGTGCCTCTGAAACTCAAGGGAAACCTTGCCCAAAACCTTGCGTATCGAGCAAGCAGAATTTGCTCAGCAGACTGTTAGCCTCAGGAACTGGAAAGTATAAAGCAAACACTGTTTGACAACGGCTATCCGGAACAATTGGTTCTGAAGAATTTGACAGAACGGCCGCCGAGAGCACCACTGACAGCAGTTAAAGGAACTGAACTTCTCTTAAGACTTTCTTTTAAATGAGATTGTAAGTCTGAATTGTTAAGACACCAATTGGGAAAGGCCATTGCTGGTACTTTCCCTGCCTCAACGTTACGTACTAGTACGACGAATGGTCCCGTAAATTATAAAGATACGTGTTCTATCCTCTCCTCATCTATGGTCAGTTACCACTTTCTTTGCTCATGTGTAGCAAGTTATGTCAGGCAGCTGTCGCAGAGAATCAAGGAGCACAAGTCGGCGTGGATCGGTACGGGTATTAGGAAAATGATTACAAGCGCAGTGGTGGGACACCCTGTAGACACGGGCCATCAAGCAAACGAGGACGCATTCAAGGAGAACTACAAAGTACCAGCAAACCCATCTAAAGCTGTGCGTCAATGGCACCTTGCTACAGCTAAGATAGTGGCTATTCGCCTACTCAATCCATCCATTTGTTCTAAAAAGCGATTTGTTCAGTCACTTTGTTTACCTTGGCCTTAGCCTGACACAGCCGACCGAAACGAC